ATAACTTTTGATTTTACCGTTGGATTGTCCTGATGTAAAGTGCTATGGAAAGCTGGTTGTCTCCTATTGAGTGTCTCCAAATTTGAGATGGATCAGACGGTGAGAAAGTTTTGATTTGAGGCTGAACTTCTGACGGTCTGACTTTGAACTGAAAATGTGGATTTCTTCTATTTTGCCATATTTTCCCTAAGTTTCCTGAAAAAAGCCTTGAAACTAAAAACATAGAAAAATCATAATAAAAGTTCCTAAAATTGATTAAAACCTTTGAAAAATCATTTGAAATCAATTTTGAAAATGGGTACAACTACGGTGTTATCAACTCCCCTAGACTTAAACTTTGTTTGTCCTTAAAGAAAACAAGATCCAAACTAAAAAAAATATCATCAACAGAAATCATAGGGAACTCAAAAATATCAGCAACCATACTTCTAGACCTTAATTAGAGGCAATGCATCAATCAGATCAAGTCTAGAAAATTCTCACCAAAATACAAACATAACTAATTCGTTAATCCGTCATGCGAAAATCCACATTTAGAACTAACTTCCAGTCAACTGGCTCTTAAGATTTATTAAAGGTTTCAGTGATTCTCATCAAAAGGATATTAAACAAGACATTCAAGGCTACGTATTCAGGGGCTTTTCAATGGTGAGGTTTGATGTGTTTAGTGTTACTTTTTCTGGAGAGACATGATATTATGCAAAACAGCAAGAGAGGATGGAGCTGTTGATATACACAGTTTCTAACGATACATTATCAGTAGAAAAATAAATCAGTATATTCAGCAGAAAGAGAGATCTCGGGTGAAAACCACAAAAGAACAAATGAAACAATATCTTTCCAAAAAAAAAATGAAACAAAAACTGATCAAGTCGAACAGATATAGTCAAGTATTTGGGATAGCCATGTGCGAACCAAACATGCATCTGACGAACAAATTGCTGAAGCTGTGGAGCCTCTTGCGGTTATGATACCCTACCTTCTTCAGACCTGTGCACCTGACGATGACAAGTGGAGATTCCCCTACACGCCGTTCACCCATTCGCGAGTACGAGGTACGGAGATACCTCAAAACATTCAGAGTGGTGATTGCGGAGTGTACTGCCTGAAGTACATCGAGTGTCATGCATTGGATTTGCCATTTCCTCCGGAACTCTGCGATAAAAACATGCAAAAAATCAGGGAGAAAATGGCTGCAGAGATCTATAACGAAACAGGATGTAAGAGCCATGATAAGCTAGATGCAACCGGACTGGATGTTTATGATAGGCAAGCTTAGTGTTTCCGTTCTTAAAACTAACTTTGATTTTTATGGCAACTTTTGGGCTACTTGCATAAATGACATTCAATGTGATTGGAGGTCATTTTAGCAATTGGTAGATAATAGGTGTGGAAGTTTTTTGAACACCTATCTCATAATTAACTTGCCAAATATGTTGTATTTTCGTTTAGGATATTGTACTCAAACTGAAGTCTTTGACTGAAGTCTACTAAGTTGTAATTGTATCTGTACTGAAGTCTACTAAGTCTATTAACATGTTAGTATTTTTAATTTTCGATTTCACCCTTACAACTGATTAAGTTCTATAATTTTCGAGTATACCAGAAAGTGTAGACGGAAAAAGTGTACACCGATAGTGTACAAGGAAAAAGTTTTATTAAAATAAGAATTATAAGTCTACAAACGAAGTCTACAAACGAAGTCTACCATAGTCATGTAAACATATAAGTAAACCCAAAAAACATAAAACATGGAGTCAACTAATTTCACCGCGGCCATTCATTTGCAAATCCAGGAATTGTTTTCCAGAATAAGGCACATTCCAACTTCCAGAAGCAAGGACTGCAGAGTTTGTCACCATATGAGTCCACGAGGCGTTCATCATCCATCCAGTGCTGGTTTGGCAGATTCATACAAGCACAACTCCTTGATTGTGCCTTATCAAAAACATGGAAGACCGGTTCGTGAAACGCGTCAGGCTTCTTATATGTGGTCGGACACCTGTTTATGTGCTGCATAGTCTTCCGCATCTTCGTTGCCTCTGCCGGAACTATACCACGAATGTGGTTAAATACATCATGGCTACCATACATGGTTAAAGCGAACATAACCATGGAGTTAGTTGCCATGAGGCATCCTCCATTTGATGACACCTTTATTAAGTTAAATCCTTCTTGGATGCTATCTTCATAGAAGATTAGAGAAACGGCTCGTAGGTATTGCGCTGTAGGATTTCCACACTCCAAACAGCGCCGAAAGAAAGCGTCAACCCTCCCATGTTGATCCCAGACCCATGGAATCGTCAAAGTTATTAGATCAACGGCTCTTAAAAACCCTCTTCATTAGAAATCTCATTTAGATGTTTGGAGGAGACCCTTGCTCTACAGAGCCCACCGTAGGAACGAGAAGTGATTTTTAAGAGGATATCCCACAGAATGTCGGAAGGGAGAGAGTTAAAGTTTAAGGGGTTCGACATCTTCAAATGGGTCTGGAATGAGCCTATAATTCGTCTAAACCCAAGAATTTATAAGCAGAAATACAGAACACAAACAGGTACAACGGTTATACGCACCGTTAAAGTCGTTAGAACAGTTACATATATGAAGTCGTTTCAAACATAACCGTTGTACCAAAATATCACACACATAGTAGACTTCGGAAGTAGACTTCACCAATAAACTTCTCAAGTTGACTTCCAAAGCAGACTTCTTTGAGAACAATAGATGCTTTGTCTTCCTATTCCGGAGCCTTCTTGTTATTTTCCTAGTGAATCTTCGACGGCTAAGTATATTAAATAAAAATTGCAACATTGTTATTCGAGTTTAGCTCAACTTACACAATTCGGTAGGGTATGACCAGGTTGCTTGCATTGGGAGCAGCTGTATACTTTGTGCAGCTTCCTTGACTTCTTGCTTTTCCTCCTAGCAATTTCTAGCCATGATTGCCACCGAGACTTCTTCCGTCTGCCTGGTGCACGGCGAATGTCTGGTGGCAGACATATTGAAGTTGGGCCTCCTTGGACCTCTGAAATTTGGGGATATATGTTGGCAGAGTATGCTGCAAACAAGTAGTTTTTTTAGTAAGTCGGACATACAAGAGAATCCACAGATATCCCACCTGCTAATACAGCTGCAATAGCATGTGAACATGGGATCTTCTCGATGTAAAACACACCACATTCACACATTCCATGTTCCAAATCAACAATACAATTCTTGGTTCCTCCTTTCACATAGTATCTCCAAGTGTCAATTCGGTCCACCTCCATTGCATCTGCATAATGTCCACGAATCGCCAGCAAATACTCCACTCCCCGAGTATTATGTGTTGTGAGACTCAAAGCATCCTCTCTGCGTTTTAAAAACCACCGACCGAGCTTCTCTCGGATGAAATCCAAGAGGAATGAAATGGGATAGCCACGGGCCTTCTTAAGTGCATCATTTATAGACTCTGCAACATTGCTAGTCTTAATATTGTATCTGTCTCCAACAAAATGAACTCGGGACCAAAGAGAGACATCGGCTTCTTCCAAATAGTCAGCAAGGTCAGGCTTGATCTGTCTCAGCTCCGCCATGTACCGGTTGTAGTCATAGAGGTTGTAAGCATAAGCCACACGTTTAACCAAGTACAACAACTGCTTCCCCCTAAACTTTGTTACTATGTTATGTTGTAGGTGGTAGTAGCAGATCCCTCGTTTTGCCCATGGGAAAATAGTTTCACAAGCTTTCTTAATAGAAATATGTCTGTCAGAAACTATCACCAAAGGATAACCATCTGAGACACATTCACGCAGTTTAGAAAAAAACAATTCCCATGAAGCATCATCTTCACCATCAACAATTCCAAAGGCCAAAGGAAAAATCTGAAAGTTTCCATCTTGTGCGGTGGCAACCAACAAAGTACCCTCGTATTTCCCTGTTAGATGACATCCATCAACCACAATAACTCTTCTCATGTACTGAAAACCAGCAATCGATGCTCCAAATGCGAGAAATAGATATTTGAATTTGTTATTCGAATCTACATGAAGAGCTGATACAGTTCCCAGATTGGCTTTGTTCACTGAATGTAGGTAAGCTGGGAGACTCGCATATCCATCTTCAGCTGTTCCCCTGACCAATTGTTGGGCATATATCAAAGATCTGTTAGAGGTAGTGTAATCCATCTTGATGCCAAACATATGCTTCATTGAAACCCTGACATGTTCTGGTGTAAGTCCATCAATGATACCGAAATGGCTTATAAACAGCCTGCCAATATACTTAGGAGTAGACTTCCCACGGTGAGCCATTCGATGGGCTATTGAACATGTGTGGTCTTTCACATATTTTGTCACCCAAAAAGTGGATGCATCATTCTTCACGCTCGCTCTAACCATCCATGCACATCCTTCCACTCGACATTTAGCCACAAACAGGATCTTGGTAGACTTCTGTGTTTTAAAAGCAAATTTTAACATTATGGCAGTCAGTCTAACCTCTGATAACAGCTTCTCTTTTGTAGGGAAACTTGCCCTAACATATATATTATCAGACCATGACATGGGCGTGCTCCCTGTTTCACCATATCGGTTTCTAACCTTTTCAATACAGACTTCATCTTCATCATCATCTTCATCTTTCACTTTACCGTAGACACTGTAATCTTCTCCGTCAGAGTAAGCTGCATCGTCGACATCTTCTCCATCCTCGTTCACATCAGAACTGTCTGCCTCATCATCGGTAGAATGTTCTGAATTTTCCTCAGACTCCTCACCTAAATCTTCATCTGATCGTTCCTGGTTCTCCTCAGTATCCATCTCCACTCGACAGGACACACAAAGGCGTAACATATGTACTCTGTTTAACGCAATCAAGCTTGAAACTTGTCTATCATTGGTGACATGCATTGGAGGTGTATCTGGAGCCATATTTTGCAACATTGGTAGTGCGTAGGTTAACTCGATGATCCCAGTCTTCTTGCCTAAGTTATAATCATCTCGCGCCATTTCAGTAAGCTGCCCAAAGGTGCAACCATCGTTCAAAAACCACATTCTTCCACCTTTGCACATGTCAACAACAAAATGCCATGAATTCTCCTTAAACTTCCACTCACCGTACACAACTGGAATTTGAGCCATTCTCTGAAAAAATAACCATATAAACCGTATTAGCAAACACCGCATAGAGACTTTTTGTATCAAAGTAGACTTCACGACGAAGTCTACTTTGATAAGCTTAGTACCTTAAAAATCGAAACTTCTGATTCGACAATAAATATTCAATGAAACGGAATAAAAATCACTAGGTAGTTCAGTCACTAACTAAGAAACAATTATGAACAAAAACAATTGAAAAATAATTTATAAATTTGCTTAAAACGCGTTTTTACAAAAACGTCAAAACGTAGACTTCTATTGCAGACTTAGAATGTAGACTTCACGACGAAGTCTACTTTGATAAGCTAAGTACCTTAAAAATTGAAGCTTCTGATTCAGCAATAAATATCCAATGAAATGAGATAAAATTCACTGGATAGTTCAATCACTTACTAAGAAGCAATTCTGAACCAAAAAATTTGAAAAATAGTTTATACATTTCCTTAAAACGCGTTTTTAAAAAACCATAGTAAGATAGACTTCTACATTAGACTTCAAATGTAGACTGGAGGAGAAGTCTACTTTTTCATTGAGAAGTCTACAAATGAAGTCTACTAAAAAAAAAGGTTATTTTTGCAATTGATCAATCTGTTGACTTTTGCTTCAGTAGACTTCAGGAGTAGACTTCAGGCAAAAAAAGTTACTTTAGCAATTGACCAATGCATTGACTAACATAGTAGACTTCTATTGTAGACTTCATGTAAGAGTAGACTTCTCTGACAGTCTACTTTTGAAGTCTACTTGTTAAATAGAAGTCTACGGAACAAAATAGGTTATTTTTGCAATTGAATTTTTTAGTAGACTTCACAATGAAGTCTACTCAAAAAAATATTCCTTCTAAGTTTGACCGAACACAATAAGTAGACTTCCCAGAGAAGTCTACAGTTTGTAGACTTCTTTGTGAAGTCTACTGAAGCTTTTTGGAATTTTTTAAATTTTTTAATTTTTGAAAAACAGAAGTCAAACACAAAAATGGCCTTTACGTTTTTGGTCAAACTACAAAAGTAACCTGAAAGTAGACTTCGTATGCAGACGACACAAGTAGACTTCATAATGAAGTCTAAATCCAAAAGTCAAAATACGGTCAACTACAAAAATAACCTCTTTTTTTCGTAGACTTCTTAAGCCTGCAAATGAAGTCTACTATGTTTTTTTTTGTTTTCAAAGGATATCGAGTAGACTTCTCGTGAGGTTTAATGAAATCTACTTTTTAAAAGTCAATTGCAAAAATAACCTTATGTTGACTCATAGACTTCAGTAAAGTTCACGAGAAGTCTACTTTCGCGATATAAAAACTGAAATGTGGAGAAATTGAAGTGCGAGGATTACCTTTAACAAAATGGAGCTCCCCTAAGTTTCTCTTATCCACCCAGAACTTAGGATTTCACCGAAATTAAACAACCCAGGTGTCGAGTAAACCAGAATTCACCGAAAAAGCATGGCGCGAAGCATTGTAACTTTGCCCAGATATTTTGGAGAAGAACTTATGATAGAATGAGCAAGGTTGTGAGTGAATGAGTTTAGATATTTGTTTTATTACAGTTTTAAAACTGGTTGGTAAGCATTTATTCCATTTTCATGGTTGTTCATGGTGGTTGAAAGTATTGAAGACGATGGCATTCACATAATTAAAAAGTGTTTAGAAGGTCCGAGAAGACTTTAGCCAATTAAAGAAAAATCGAATTATTAGATATATAATGGCATTTTCGTTAATAGTTTAAGTGGGAAGGATAAAATTGTGAGAAAATGGCAAAAGTTGGAGAGAGAAAAAAAAGAAGTTAGTTTTGTGTTTAACTTTGAAATATGGGTTAAATCTGAAACTCTCCCTTAAAAAAGAAACAAAATGGGTACAATATGAAACAAGATCTATGGGTACAATATATACAATAAATAGAACAATATTAGAATAGTATAAACTGTCTATATATACATGTTCAGAAAGATAAAAATGACTGAAAATATACCTTTGTGTTACTTGCTTAATTTCTCTAAAAGCATGAATATATTCTTAACCAATTAAATTAATTCTAAAGAAAACAAACAAATTTGTTATTTTTGTGTTCACTTATGAAAATTTGCTATAAAGGTATTTGTACAATAAAAAAAACAATTAAAAATTAATTAAGCACCTTTTATTTATATTTTTTTTCAAAAGTTCGAATCAATAAATTATATTAATGATCCAACATCACAAGATACAACTTTTTGTTCAAAAATGTTTTACCTTTGCCTCGTCAAGAACTCATTTGCTTGTTGAAAACTGTAATCATTCAATCAAGTACACTAGCAAGGAGGTCTCCAAAAATCTGGATTCAAGGGTTGATTTTACAAAGTGTATTCGTGTATGTATAGCTCGAAAAAATAACGAAAAGCTTTCGAAACCTGCACATTCACAGAACACAACAAAAATTCATGTTTCAGTTCTTACCGTTCTTTACATTCATCATGGTCAGAGCAAGAACACAGATCACATTATGGGAAAAGATACATACCAAACCCATTGGCTTAAATGTTGTGCCATTGCTTCCAAGCTTTTCCAAGGCTGCTCGTTTATAATGATTAGTTTACTTGGATGTCTTTTACTCGGATGTCTTTTGGCAGACAAAATTGACAGCCAAATGTCGACGGGTCCACAATACTTGCGAAAGATGTTAAAGCTTACCTTATGTACAAAACCATGTAGACATTTTAGCTGAATCGAGTTCATAATCAATAGGAGCTTGAAGATACTTTTTAGTTCAAAGAAAAAAAAGAGAGTAAAACTTACAAGTTCCCAAGCTTTGATATTTTTTTCTGAATTAATCATCAGGAACTTTCTGCATATACAACACAGTGATGAGGAAAGATTTTGAGGTTTCATGACTCAGGGATTAAAAGAGTCTTAACGTACAATACTCCATGGTGTACATCACGGTGATTGCTATGACCCGAAACACCATAATTATCGAATGTTATAATCTGAAATCAAGTGGAAAAATACTTGAAGTATATATCTTGATTAGTGTCTTTAACAAGGCTTCAGAGTCAAGTCATACCGTGTGAATATCATGATTAGTGACGGCTTCATCGATGATTTCCGTTAACAAATCATGACTCCATACTTGCCCAAAACCATCCTGAGAGAGAATATAATATACTCAGGGCCGTTAAATGAGATGGTGAATGAAAAGATACACATGTGCTGGGGAGGTTTAATCACTAACCTGTAAATTTGGATGGTCCAGAATCTTTAACTGTCGAAGAGGAACCTGCGTCACGTTCGAGATATATTAGCAAACACGTTCTTCGCTGCAATAACAAAAAAAACTCCTTTTTTTGACAAATTGGATTTACCCTGAGCACTGCACAAGCCTGATGCAGCTCATCTTTCCTAATGCTTCCCATACCATCGGCATTACCTGAAACAAATAAATTCATCTTTATAGTCCAAAATGAAATTCCAAAACTTTGTAAAGGAAAGCAATACACCAATCTAGAAAGTCTGATAAGGCATATAATTACCAGTGGACAAGCATAATATGTGAAGGTTGTAAGCATTGGTAGTTAAGTAGTTTATTGTTGGAGAAAAGAACCTGTCGAGAATGTCAAAGACTAATTTCTCAGCAAAACACAAATAACCTAATCTTGACATTTCCAACAACAGCCAGAGAGATGCATTCTTAAATATTACATTGACTCATCATCAGGATGTGCGATGACGAACAGCACATTTTTCTTGTGAGGGGTTATACCTGAAGCCCAAGCGACAAAGATATGTCAAGTTCTGCATAAAAGTAAGCGTTAAAAGAAAGAAGTAATTGACCCGTGATAAACATCTTCCGGCTACTTGCCATCATCAAGAATTGCAGCTTTGAAACTAAATGTTGCTCCAAAGAAAATTTTGCAGAGAGAAGCGACCCAGATAACAATTAGCGAAAGAGCAACCACAAACCATGCCATCTGACAACATGAATGATACATAATCAGTAGAAAAAAATCAGTATATTCGGCAGAAAGAGAGATCTCAGGTGAAAACCACAAAAGAACCAATGAAACAATATCTTTCAGTAGAAAGAGTGAACGTTAAAGTAAAACACATACGTAAGACAAATAAGTATATACACCGTTTTATAAGTGACAATCAATCTCTAACGAATCAAGAGGCAAAAACCAGAGATATACATAGAAGATGCTGCATTTGGATCAAATTCTAAGGCTCAAGAAAGCAGAGCAAGACTCTAATCACGTTTACTAAGACACATACGAATTATAAAAGATGAACGAATTATCAAAGCTAATGGCACCGCAATCAACAACTTAACAAATTAAGAAAGCAAACGATGAGCAGTTACACACTTACAATCAGAACTAGAAACCGTATGAGCCAAATATGATGATCTAAAGCATTCTTTATCAGAGAATGATTTGGAGATGAAGAAGCACAAGAAGCAAGTGGCACAAGTGAAAGGTAAGCAGAACCGCAATCAACAAAAGACAAATCTAGTAGAACAGAATCACGATGCTTAAAGACAAAGGAGCAATAGAGATAGAAGGATACCTGTGTACAGTTCTAAGAATCAAGTGGAACCGGTTAAGGATGATCCAAACTGAAGAGAGATTGAAGAAGAGGTCAAGAGAGAAGAAAGATTGAAAAGAGACAAGACCAAAAACTCCTCAGACCTGCGCCAAGTATCAAAACCCAGAAATTAAAATCCAGAAAGAATGACTGCAACTCCAAGTTTAATCTATAAGGAACAATCAAAACCAAAGAGAAAAATAAACACTTGGAAGAGATTATATCAACAATAGCAAATGCATATGGCTACTTTTTAGATCCAAATAATACACTCTGCATTATGTTAATTGATGCTAAACATTAGGAAGCCACCTGTTCTAAACAAGTTAAGCTAAAGCACATCTCTTGACTTTTAATCGACCCAAAAATCACTGAATTTTATTTGCCCTCACGAGCACCAGGTTATTTACGTACTCGACAATCAGATCATGGACAAAGAGAGAAAACATACTAAACTATTCCATTTTACTCTAATGTACCATAAGCATGATCACTACAAAACCATCGAGATTGAGAATAAGATGTATAAGACACTTTATGTTTCACTTAGAATATATTAGACACAGATACGTTGTACAGAATTCATAAAAGGACATGATGCAGGAAAATTGGATACTTTCCTAAGCACATAAACATACATTGAGATGAGTGATGAAACTGGAAAAGACAAGCAGCTAATAGAACAAGTTCACTAATTAAGAAGCTAAGAGTTCCAAATTAACACAAGAACAAAATGATTTATATCACCATAAATATAACACCAACAAGCATGTATACGAAAAGCATGATCATATAGGCTAACCTGATGTTCCTTTACCGAGTCGATTTACAGGACTGGGTGTGATTCACGAGCTCCGGTGGAAGAATCTTTTTTACCAAAACACCACTGCATATCAAAAGTTCAGATCAATACATATAACATACTGGTCTCACATGCATCCTAAGGTATACTAAGATCAAAATGCACACCAAAAGAAAACCAAACTTCTTGTACAACAGTTCAATACATATAACATACTGGTCTCACATGCATAGGTATACTAAGATCAACAAATGGCAGTACGTTAAAGAGAACAGTATGATACTACAACTATTTAGAATAATGTTACAAACTAGAATATACGAGATACGAGGATATGAGACATGCATGACGTTCAAAGTAGCTGTCTTCACCAATCATATAAAGAAAAATGAAGAAACCAAAAGCAAAGAATATGACATTCAAAAGAGAGTGTGGCTACGGACTACTAAGCATTTCAAAGAAACGTGAAAGACAAGTTAACTCAGAACATATCAAACCGACTATTACCTTACTGTTCATCTTGTTTGATGATCTTCTTTACAATTAATGACATGTGAAGGAAGCAAGATAGCCTCATACGATGTAGCACAAGAGGTAATTATCAACGTAAATAGGAAAATTTCCAGAAAGAATAGATTCCAATCAACATCTACTGCAGCTCACACAAACTGGACAATTAAGCCGAAATCATAGAATCAATTTATAGCAATCTGCAGAACTAAGTGTAACACAAACTCTTAAGATGTGAGTGTATAATCACACAGGGATACATCCAGAGTAATCGATTCTATTCTACAGAGAAAGCCAAATATCAAAATGCACACAAATAAGAAAACCAAATATATAGCAGCAAGCAAAAGAAAGAAACTTTGAAAAACTTGAAAAAACTTTGAACCCTTCACAGATTAGCTCTGCGTCATTCACAAAGAAGGACGTCACTACACAACGCAAACATGCTCGATATCAAATCGTTCTCCACATCCTCTATACACATTACTCAAAACCCATAACAAAGCTTTTCTCAAAAGCGAGCAGAACAAGCAGCAAGCATAGATTAGAGAAGAAAACTTGGAATTCTAAACAAAACCCACAAATAGATTACCTCAGCTGAGAGAGAAAACGAGATCGTCGGAGAAAGCAATTAGGAGAAAGAGAGACGAGTGAGAAGACGCCGGCGAATGGAGATGTCAGAGAAGACGCTGGGGAAGAGAATTTTCTCGCCGCCGTCGGAGAATAAAGAAGTCGAAGAAGAGAAGAGAGAAGATGAGATTTAGATTTAGGTTTTTCTCTTGTAAATTTTTTATTTTTATAAGGGTATTTTAGTCATTATAATGTTTTGATTGAAACTGGTTCTGGTTCAAATCGGATCAGCCAGCTGAATCTAAAAATTTAGTCATAACTTAAATGATCTAGTTGACCTTATGAATGAAGGTGATTTTATGCCTTAAATGAACATCAATCAACTGGATCATCTGGATGAATCAGTCAACTGCTCAAACGAACAGGCCCAAAATCTATAACTTCCTCAAAACTTAAATCGAAACAAAAACTAATTGCCAGCAGCAAGTAGTACACCTCCCCGTGGCTAGTGACATAATACCAATAGCATCGAGATTTACATGAAAAGCAGCAACGCCATGTACATCATCAATCTTCCAGCGGCTGCAGCTTTAAAAAAACGGATACCATCAACATGGTCGGGCTTCTCTCGTTGAAAATCTCCGCGACTCCAATACCGATCCCGATTCCTACAGGTGTTGTGAGAGCAGATACTATCACCATAACCAAACTTTTCTTCAATTCATACTTTGCCTGCCAAAGAAAAGAAGAGAAGAAGAAAGGGATAAGATCCAATTCTCAAAAAGAGAGAGAGGAAGATTAAAAACAAAATTAAGATTGTTACCCGGTAGATGCGACGTCCAAGACCCAATTCCTTGGAACAATTGATGGAAGCTGAGTGCAGCTATAAGAGTCTTAATTTTGATAACACTTGGAGATGCTCCTAAATATATTCCTATGATCACTGAGTGAACCAAAACCCCTAATTCCAACACCTAAACCCACAAGAACGAAAGAAATCAGAAGTCGAAAATGTTCTTTGTAATCAAGAATGTATTTAAAATAATTTTAGTCTAAGCTAACAAAGATAAAGGTTTGGATTTTGGGGGTTTACCGGGAGCTTCTGATATCCAAAGTGACGTCTTTCCATAAAAATTGGAGCCAATGATTCAGTGAGGGTTATGATCGCAGCAGCCATGGCTACAACTTGGGTCATCGGAAAATCACCCCAAGGTGGCTCATCTCCGACCCATGAACTCGTGAGGCTCTCTGTGGCATCAGGAAGAATGTCGCCGACACCAATGACGAGGACTGATATGCCACCATATGTCTTAACAATTGAGAAGAGAACATTGTCTGGATGGAGGCCAAAGATCGGCAAACAAACACCAAAAACTCCGAAAATCAATGTGGAGAAGATAGCTATGATCTTATACTTTATTTAACATCTTACCAAAAAAAAAAAGCTATGATCTTATACTTGAGAGCCGTCGCTGTATTTACAGCAGCAGAGCAACCGCAGACGGTTTCTTCTTCCTCCGCCGCGGAGACTAGAAGAGGTAGAACAATCGAGCAGATAACCAAAACAGAAATCTGTGGAAGGTAGGGTTTTCCGAGTTTACCCATCTCTGTTCCCGTATGATGGAAGGTAGGGTTTTAGACCGTGGATGTCGAAGGATTAAGAATTCTGCTTTCTCCAATTCTCCATCTTTTGATTTAGGGCAGAGTCGTACTTAAATTGGCTAATTAGTCACCGTCTCTATGTTTCTCTTAAGGTTAATGGAAATTTAACTTTTTGTTTTCTTTCTAATTATAGGTGATGTGAGGAATATCAATATCGATGTGTCAGTTCCTCCAGACCAATCATGTAAGGTTTTTTTACGTGGTACACACAAATTGTTTTTTTAAGTATTTTACACTATGTAAAAAGGTAATTAATTACTTATGTCCAATAAAAAATAATAGTTTTTTGATAAAAAAATAATTTCTTTTAGTTTAAATTTTAAACAAAATACGAGTTTGGAGTAAATTTGGTACAAACAAAAAAAAAATACATGTAGTTACATGTCAATTACGCTTAGTAGTAAGATTTCTCCAATAACTTATTAGTAAATCTATTATAGTATTATTGAGATTTTTTCAAATTTGTTTTTCTCAAAAGAGAATATTTTAATTACAAATAACATATATTATTTTTAAGTTTACAAATTATATATAATAATTATTTCAAGAAATTATAAAATTTATGCAAATTAAAACATCTAAGCTTATGTCAATTTTATTTTATCTTTTATATTTATTTATGGTAGTAAATATGTATTTTGAATTTTATTTCTGGTTAAGTTATTGTATGTTTGTTAAAATTTGCATTTTCACGTTTTTAATTATGAAACTAATTAATATTTATCTATAATTTTTTTAAAAAAATTATTTGTTTTATTTAAATAGTAAATAAAAAGTTTAAAACATGTAAAATTATAAGGATAATTTTATAAATAAAAAAAAATAAAAAAATAAAACTAAAGGATGGATAATGTTCCTTCAAATTTGACGTAATACTATCCATAAACTCATTTTTTTCTCAGAATGAAATACCATTGGAAATAAGTTTTTCTCATTTGTGTATGCTTTCCCTCAAAATGAATGACCATTGGAAATGGTCTAATTAGTCAAAATAAATGGTTCGAGCATAAACGTTGTGATGTAAGAGATGTCAAAATGTTTTTTTTTTGTGATGTAAGAAATGTTAAAATATTTTTTCAGGCATAACTGATTCAAATCTGATTATTGGGTTCAAAACAAGGGAAATTGTAATTAGTTCCAAATGTAAAATTGTATATATATATATATATATCTATTATATTAAAACAGAACCACATTTAGTACTTGCTTCCAAACACTCCTAATTTTTTTTAAGTGTTTAAAAATAATTTTAATAATTATTTATATTTAATTTCGAAAATTAGTTATTAATTAAAATATTTTTAGAGTTCCTTAAATATAAGTAATTTAGATTTAATTTGATTTGATTAAAAATAATAAATCAGATATTAATTTAGATTTGATTTAAAGATTCTAATTTAAATAATTTCTATACTATTAAACATTTTTATCAAAAATATCTTGAATTTTTGGAAAAAAAAAATATTCACATATGAAAAATAATGGTCATATTTGAAATATAAAATATTTATAATAATGTAAATGATATGATATTTATGTTTTTTATATAATATATTTACGATTATGATTTATTTACAAATTAATAATAGAATAATAGGTAAATTTCAAATGTATAATTGAAATATTAAAAATATATTTTTTAAAATTCATAGAACTAAAAATATATATATAAAACCGGGTTAAAAATATTTTGGTAACTAATATCACTAATTTTGAATTATACATGTATATTGAAAATATATTTTTCATAGAAAATTAAAACATTAAAAATTAAAAATTATTGCATACACTATAATGTGGTTTGAAAAACCAGTTGTACATTCTCTTCGTTGAAAATTTTTTAGAAAACTATAATGCTAAATAATACTGTTAATACATCTCAAACTTTTAACAAATACTTATATTATATGGTAATATGAACGGAAAAATTAGAATTATGTTTTTATAATAGTTCATTTTGAATTAATATTAGCGGATGGGTTAAAATTATATTTTTATAATCATAATTAATTTTAATACTATAAAAATATATCTAAACACAAAAATCAATATTTTCACTTATTAAAAAATATATTTATAAAAATAATTATATCTAAACTCAAAAACATAAATTATATTACAAAATTCGTTAAACAATAAAAAATATTCTTGTGCGGATGCACGGGGTTAGAATCTAGTATATATATAAAATAGATTTCACTCTTTCAGTCTTTCCCTATTGGGCATCTCTTTTGCACTCACATATCTGTAAATTTAAAGGTGACTCACATATTTTTAAACTTATATGAATAAGGTATTTAATAAACATCATATTTACTTTCTAAACTCTGACTTACATGCAACATCTCAGTTTGGTTTTCTACAATCATCCTGTTTTCCAAGTTTGTTGTGTTAAAGAAGTGAAATACACAACTGCGGTGGAACTAGAAAAATGGAGAAAGCTTGATGCGGAGTTGTGGGTGTTGAAGGTATATATGATTATTTGAAGATGGCTTTTTTTATGCTATGTGAAAGCCACACAGCGTGCAGCACACAATTCTCGGTATGAGAGCTTGCTCCATATGGACCATATCTTATTAGATCCATCTGAAATTCAGAGTCAAATAATTCTACCCTTCTAGCAAGTGGATGTAGTATAAGCTGTAACACCTATTGTCATTACTTACACAGTATTACAGTACAAAGGATGAATTAAAAAGATTTTGATAGATGGTAAAATGAAGTTAGAAAAGGGTGGAATGTTGACAACTCATAATGTATTCAAAGGCTTTTAATATACGCAAACATTTTGGTACACATTCTTTTCTGGTCCTCTTGCAACTCAAAGTCTTATGCAGTGCATTAATGAAGTTTAAGCCAGCAACACCCTTGGTTTGTTGTTATTATGTCGTGAGTTTTTTTTTTTTTTGTTACCAATGATTTATGTCTAGAGGTTGTGGATACAAGAAGATAACTTTTCTGTGTTGTTGATATATTCATATATTTGCATACTTATGACGTATTTTTTGTTCAAGAATAGAGTCTCATGCATTCATATAGATAGTTTTCTTAGAGTTTTGTCTTTGTTTTAGCTTTTGTAGGAAATGCATTAGGTTCCAAAGAGTCTTGCATGTTTGGAGAGTTTTTTAGGTACTTTAGAAGCATTTGGGGATCTGATGGAGCTTAGACCGCTTGGAGAAAACCCTGGCATTGGTGCATGAGCTCGGAAAAATATCTTCACCTGGCAATACGCCTGAACGATTGCATGAGACGGAGGTCTTAAACTTCGATTCAACTGCCGGTGTCTTCAACAAGTTTGTAGAGGAGCAAGTCATATTTCCTGAAAACTTGGAATCAGGCGATTTGGAAGATACAGCCGATTGAAGATGAATTTGTCTTGCAGTTATTCCGGACCTATGCGATGAACTTCAAAGAACTGTTGTACCGTAAGCCTTACTCTCTCTGGATTCATATAATCCCTTAACAAAAGTTGGAGCTGATTGTACCGTAAACCTACATCCTTGAGCAGGAAGTGGGTGCAATATATATATATATATATATATATATATATATATATATATATATATATATATTGTGTTATATTCTTTGTTTTTATATTCCCTTACAATAGCCTTACACCCATATTTATAGCAAGGGAGGATTGCTATTGTGACCTTAAAAATAGCTGTAATTAGTAGAACAACCTTACATTCTCAAAATTAGTAGAATAACCTTCCATTTTAAAAAAAAAACCCGATTTTACCTTCGGGAAGCTTTGATGAGAAAAAACGTATTTACAAAAATGTCATTATTAAATTATTTCCACGTCAGCTGTTAAAATCGGACACCCAGAAATAAGTCTACCAAGCTTAATGGTAGATATATAAGTTTTGATAGATTTAAAAATATATCAATAGACATAATAATTTTTGGTAGACTTAATATTCAAAAAATATATTTGTTTAGATGTTGATAGACTTATAATGATAGATTTATTTTCATCGAAAGGTAGATTTAAAATTGTTGATAGATATTTGAATGTGTTGGTAGACTTGTTGGTTCTTAAAGTAGATTTATTTTCAAGTTGGTAGACATAATGTTGTTGAGTTGACTTTGTGAGATGTGGTTGACCAAAATCGGTAGACTTATTATCTTTCACAGTAGATTTGTTAGACACGAAAATAGACTTATTTCTAATAAATATAAATCTACTACAATATAAAAAATTTATTCGTGATAGCTTTGTTGTACGCATGGTAGATGTAAATGTCGATAATAGATTTGTTTTGAAATAATAGACTTGTTTTCTGTGTGGTAGACTTAAAAGTTCCGTTAGAGAGTATAGATATGTGATAGACATATGGTATTATGTAATATATATATTTGGCGGTGGTAGACTTATTTTTAAAAAAGTAGATTTATTTGATAATATAATAGACATATAACTCATTTGGGAGCTTTGATGTTGGTAGACTTATTTGAAAATTGGTAGACCTATTTGAAATTGGTAAACATATTGAAAGTTGATAGACATATTTACTTCACTGAACGGTAGACTTAATGATATGAAATGACGTTTTTATCAAGTAGTTATTATCGAATTTTTCTGTTCCAACCACTGCATCTAGTAGCTCTTATGATTTCTTCTCTTTACCTCTTTTGGAGTACTATTTGTACCTTTGAGGAAAAAGTTTTAGTTATTGATTGGGAAATCGACTATAGTGATTTCGTAGGTATGGTTTATGAAAATTTTGACTTGGATCAATGCTATTATGAGGTTCGATTGAGTTATATGTTGTTGAAGACATACTTGCAAAAGCTACCGCGAGATACACTTCTGGGTTTTTAGTAAGTACTCGACAACTTGGTGGTTTTTTGCGATAATTTGAAAACAAAACGGTCCGTCCATTTATGCGTCTAGATTATAGACAAAGCGGAGTCCAAAGATATCGAAAAATATGTCGAAACTTCAATTGTATAAAGTGATGATTAAGCAAGTAAATCATACATGATTCAATAACTATACAATACCATATATGATTAAACAAGTCTATCATACATAAATCAACTATAACATACAAAGAACAATAACTTTATCGTACATGATTCAACAACTCTATCATACATATAGAGAACAATAACTCTATCATACCTGATTCAACAACTCTATCATACATACACCAAACAATAACTTTACAATACACGGTCTAACAAGTCTACTATACACGGATGTCTGATTCTTGCAACACACACAAATTAGGGTTAGCTTTATTTTCGAAAGCTCACTTTCAGCCGCCGTTGCAACTGTAACTCTATCTTTTGCACAATTGACGCCGAAAGTTCCTTTTTAGCCTCTGCCGCCATAGGTGACTGTGTCTTTCACCCAAAAAACACCAGAAGTTTCCTAATATGCTCGCCGGGTCCTCACATCGATTCTCGAAGAAGATGAAACGACTTCAAGGCCTCAAACACGAAATCGCCAGAATCACAGATTCGCTGGAAACACAAAAAAAATCAGTATAATAACTCTATCATACATGATTAAACAAGTCTACCATACATGGAACAATAAATTATATATGATGCAATAAATCTATCATACACGGAAAACTAACGTGTTCGTCGCCAAGAGAGGACGAGAGGTCTGAAATCAGCTTTTTTGTCTTTCGTCTTCTCCGGTGCTTGCTGTAGCCGACAAGCCGACAACGGTGAAGAACGCGAAAATGAAAAAGTGAATGAAACGAAATGATGAAGAAAAATGAAACGACAAATGGAAAAAAACTTATCGGAGATGTAGAACAGGCCGATAAGAAGCTCAGAAGGTGACCGGAAACGATGCAGACGCCGGAAACTCGCAAAAATTGGAAAATCACCATCATCGTCGGTTTCTCCGCCACCTTTAGGTTTTTTTTTCTCGGAAATGAAATAGAAATTAGGTTGAAAACGAAATCCTAAAGATATTAAAATTTTTTTATTTTTATTATTTTTTAAAGAAATTAATTAAATTACGAAATTATTAAAAAAAAAATATAGATTTTCTTGTGTGAGGGGTTACACTGTCTTTTCCACGCTGATAAGGTTAATCTAGCAAAAATGTAAGGGCGTTAGATTACTTTTGCAAACAGACCTGTTTGTAAGGTCATTTTAGTAATTATATTACCTACTTATGAGTTCGTAGCAACTTCATGTAGAAGTAAATAATCATAAATTAGATGGATAATAATCCATTTTTCAACACTGTCTTATAGCAATGAACAAAATGCTGGGAATTATTTTTATTTTTTTTCAAGGATACTCAAAACCGCGCTCGAAATAGTTAATATAATAAATTCGTACATATATTTGTATTATAGAGCTTGAAATAGTTAATATAATACAATCAAGAATCTTCAATTTCCACTACAGCTTGATATGAAAGATGGAGATGAGATCGATGCGTGCCGAAAATTGAGTGGTGGTCTACGAGCAAACCAGCTTCAGTGGTCTTATATGGTTTTCGATAAGATTGTGTAATATCTGGTGTTTCATGAATAATTTGATAAGCCTGCTCTACTTTGACTTGTTACTCATTTTTGGTTACTGGTCATTGTTTTATGAAATTTTGTGAATCATGAAGTTATTGGATCCTAAACCAATACTTATGGTTTTGGTGGAATCATTCAATATACTTAAGTAGCTTACTAGCTTAAACAAAAATTATACATGTTCACTAGAAATGGCTTAAACAAAATTATACAAACAAGCTTATGTCATTTATGAGTGCTTAATTTAAAATTTGAGTTAAGATAAACAAAATGGTACTATTTCTTAACTAACCTCTAGAAATTTTTCTTACTATAAACTGTGTCTTACTTTTGAACAGGTTTTGTCGTTTATTTGGGTTTTTTGTCTGTTAATGTAAGAGTTATTTTAAACGAAAGGGTCACTTCCTAAACTTAAAGAGATATTCAATAAAATAAGTCTTTTTTTAGACACAACCATTGACAGAGTCAAGGGGCAAAAACATATTCAAACCCCACAGACAGCAAAGGCTGTCGAAAATAGTCACAGAAAAACATACCAAGCCTATATAGTTTTGTTGCCTTAAACTGCTTCAAAACCGAGAGAGATCCTAATATGAAAGTCAGAAAAGCCGATCGCTACTACTTACTTAGAGCCAAGTTGGGAAAAACAGACTGCACATTCTAAAGCTGCTTTTCTTCCATCTAACAGAAGAACATGGAATTGGCGACGTTGTCTTTGAGTCTCGGGAGCTGCGCCACAGAAATTGGTCCTGGAGCTGTCACACCACCGTGGCTTGATGACGTCTCAGATTGATCTTCAAACTTCATGAACGTTCCTAGCTGAGCAGCGGCCAAGTGAGCATAGCAGATCGGCGCAACTGCAAAAAGAACAAAACATCAGTTACGAAAAGAGATAATGGAGACTTTAAAATCAATGGAAGTAGAGAAAAGATTATTATATTTTACCAACAGAAATGGCAGTGGTGCTTCTTTGGTACCTGAAAATTTGACAAAGAAAGAAATCAGATCATTTTCTGAGATCAACACAATAAAGTTGATCATAATCAATAATCAATGAGGGTTAAGACTACATACACGTAGGAGAGAGAGTGGACAAGTTCTTGAAGTTCATCAGGTGAAAAATGGATGTCATCAAACAGGACATGGTAATGTGTAGGACGAGTTGTTCCCTAATTTAAAAATACAAAGAGAGATCAAACGACTAAAAACACACTTCTAATAGCAATTAACATATGTGGTTTTTGAAAGAGTTGAGATAATACTTACAATCATTCCGGCGTGTGCACAGAGATAGAAATCGTAGTTATTAGGGTGACAGATCTTGTTATCGATTATCGTCCCTTTAGAAACACGAAACAAACACACAATGATGAGATCATGTATGTGTATGTGTTAAAAGAAAGGTTATGATGAAGAATTGAAGATTAATCAATTACCTGGAGGAACGTTGTCAGGAGAGCTAGTCTGGAAAAACTTGGTGTGGTGATTCTTTTGAGCCACCAACACAAGGAACTTTGGGTCCCAATTCTCATCCAAGAGCTTGCAAGCCTGAGGAAAGAGAGATGAAATAAGATTACTAACAAAGTAGCAAAAGCAAATTACACTAACAAACGGAATTTATCTTTTGTATATTTCAATCACCTCCATTATCTGGTCGAGTTCAATGTTTAGAACCTGATTGAACTGAGATTCACTAACACCATCCCTAGAAGCATTAAGGCAATGAAACAATTGGTATTAGGAAAAATAAACAATGGGAGAATGAAGAAGACCAAAAGCTCTCATGTAGTTAAGTAATTACCTGAAAATTATGATATGCTCTGGCTTTCTCTTACCCGAGCTCGTGTAGAAATCTACCAGCAACTCCCTGCAAAAACATGAAGTTACATAAATACTTTTAAAAAACAGGAGCTCAGGCAAGAGACAGCAGCATAATAAAAAGCCACACAGAATAAGTATAATTGTACTTGATTATGCCATCATCTTCGGTTCCATTTTTCTTGAAAAGGGACTCAATCATCTCAGCCTTTGAAGGCTGTGTGCGAACAGATGCTCTGTATTTAGAGATTAGAGGCCACTGTCTAGAACTCACCACCTACGTAAACCATTACAAAAGAAACAATTAGATATCAGAATCGAAGAATTCACTAAATAAAAATAGCTGATGCAAAAGCAAACAATATATGAAAACAGCGGAGAGCAACATATTACAGCAGCAATGGACGGGACATCAGACTGTCCTGGAGATCCGTGAGAAACATCCATCCCAAGGATTATGGTTGGAACCTTGGAAATGACTGTGAAGGCAGGTGTACGCTCAACGCTTAACACTGAGTTCAGGCCTCCAAGCTGTAGTGTATATGAATTAGAGACAAGAAGCAAATGAACCATTGGTACAAAGGAGAAAAAAAGACAGAGTTACCTTGGCATTGATCTTCAGAAGACAGTTTGTAAGATATTGATCATTAGGTTGTCGCGTTGGAGCCATGCATTGAGTAACAATGCCGTATTCAGTGAGGTTTTTTCTCTTCCAAGGGCCTGAGGAGGAATTCAAAGTTTTTGTCAAAGAAACATTTCAATATATGCAACAAGAAAATCTTAAGGACTGGAATTATGAGATTTCTAACCATATATGTCGCAGTTCTTCCTCTCGGGGAGCAGACATAATAGGAACTGTGGAGCACCTGGGAGTTTAGATTGGATTTCCTCAAACATCTTCTCCACACGAACAAGGGCAGGAGCACGGCGAAGAGTATGATTCTCCTCAAACACATCAAAGGGAATATCGATTTTCTGTTACAAAATACAGAAAGATGCAGTCAAGATTTACAATGTTGATAAAATTTTGCAAGAAAAAAAAAGAATCCACTTACAATTCCTTTAGATCCTCCAATTCGGATCAAATCATCAACAAGTTGACGTACATTACAGCGCGCAGAAAAATTTGCAACAGCCCATTTTTCAATCTTGGTTGGCTCAAAAAATTGCTGCACAACAAATGGATTCAGACTATCTGAACATATAAGTATATATAACAAACGGCAGAGAGACACAGCACCTTGTTGTTGAAATTCCAGCGACCGTTTCGCGGAAACAGTTCATCTCCGCATCCCATTTTCAGCTGCCAGTCAAAGAAAACAAGAGAAAATTAACTGTATGCAAAAGCTTAAAACAAGCTATCAAGTCAAAACTAAGCAATTGTATCATACCTTGGGAGCTGGCAGAACACGACCTTCCACCTGAGTAAAATTAGAGCTGATAGAAATGCCACAGGAACGCAGGAGGGGTTCAGTGTCATAGTTGCTCACTTTCAGGGCCTGAAAACATTAAACCAAGATATATAAATTCTAGTTCTCGGACAAAACAGAACAGTTAGGAAACAGTCAGGATTCCGTACCTTAGACAGAACATTCATCCTCTCTTGGGGCTTCTGTCTAGATTTCTCAACAAGGGCAGATCTTTGGAATGTGTTCAGTGCTTTTGTGTACCTCTGAAGGGGAATCAGAGAGCAGAGCTGCAAAAAAAATTCCACCAGATTACAAACATTAGCATGAATTTCTAAAACAAGTTATTACCATGAGAATGTTGATGAGCAAAAGTGGCAAACCTCAAGAGGAATATAAGTTGGTTTCTTTGGCTTCCCAACATTGATGCACGGTAGATTCGCAGAATATTGCAGCTCCAGATTCTTTTCATTTCTGAAGTACTCAGCTACTGTTATTTCAACAGTTTCGTACTCACCATTTTCATTCTTTGTTGCATTCCTTGGCCTATATTCAAACCTAGACAAGGTAACGAGCAAACTTCAGTGAACTGTCTATCTTCGAAAGGGATCACAATGTCAGCAGACTAAATCAGAAACAAATGCATCTCACTACAAAGCAATATTGAGTGAATGGCATCTTACATCTGATCCTTGCAAAGCTTGTCACTCATGCCAGTGATCCTGTACTCCTGGTTTGAGGGGCTGACTTTAATCCTCAGGTTCTTCAGAGTCCTTTTTGCCTGTTGAAAACATCATGTTAAAACGGTAACGTCTACAAAATAGGTAAGTAACATGCTTAGACCATGAAATAGCCACATATCATAATGAGTAGATCACCTTAGACCAGTCACAACTAAACGGATCCTTTGCACCTTGGTTAGCAATGACAAAGTCAACAACCGGACCAGGCTTGATTATCATTGTGGTTGTAACATCTGCATAAGAACAAAGCAAAAAACATTAATCATTGCTGCAACAGAAAGGACTAACACCAACATCAAAATAGGTGAAATTACATACCCATGTTAAGGGACATGCCACCCTGTGTTGTTCGGAAACTTGAATGGAATCCTCTACACCCCAGGATGTTACCACCAACAGGCTCACAGTTGCTCGGGTCATTGTGGAAGAATGACTGTCGCACAAGAAGGCAGCCTCTGCAATTTTTCCAAAGTTGTTAGATAAAATGGAGATTTGAGATTATAATCTAAACACTAATCACTTACTGTCTAGCAGCATGTTGACGTAAGATGATATCTAAAACTCTTATTGCTTCCTGGGACATCTCTGATTCCTGACCACGCATAGCATTCGCAAGAGCTTGAAGAGGAATCTTGGCCGCATAGCTGATCTCCACTCTAAAGTTTTTGGAACGGTTAGGCCGGCGCAGTCTTTTTCTATCACCATCACTTCGCTCTTCGTTCCCATTGGGACTTGCGTTTCCGTTAGTCCTGCTCATAAAATTCTCAATCAAAACCAAAACTAAAGCAATCAAACGGAGGACCAATGTGATAGCTTTTACCTGGCTGAAGATACTTCCTCAAGCACCACAGCAAAGTCCATCTTGTTACTAGGCAACGCTCCAAAAGTGAAGAGTGTCTTTTCTCCATCATAGGCAAACTCTTTGCCATCTAGATCAGAGTGGTATGTCTCGTGAACCTTGTCCAGAACTTTTCTTCCAACGCCCTTTTGCTCAACAGGACGACCATCATCATAAAATAGAGCCACCTGTTCAAAACCACAAATAATCGCACTAGTTTCACAACATTCAAAACCAAAAAACAGATAGAATGAACACAACAGTTGCAAAAAACATACACTGTAGTGGTAGAAATGTCCTTGAAGATTAGCAACGTTGACTTTGAAATGATTTGTCAACAGTGGTATCTTTTGGCCCTTGGATCCAAACCCAGCCCGAGCAATAGGGACTCTCAGGTTTTTTTTCTCAACAGATTCGGTTTTTACTCGTACTGGCTCAACATTGGGAGGTATGATTGGTGGAGGAGGGGGCAATGCATCAGCAACCCCGCTCCCGTTTGCTGATTCAACCTCAGTTCCATTACCGTTAGTAGAATCCATGTCCTGCACAAACAACCCATTAAAAGAAAAGGTTAGGTTTCAACATCCAGGCAAAAACTAAAGAAATATGGCTACACTTTATCAAAGCTTCCAACTTTCGTTCATAAAACCCAAGAGAGAAGTCGAATCATCGCTCATACTAAATCGTTTAGGTCACAACATTTGGGTTTATGAGCAGAAACACAATACTGACTGAAACTAAGCAATATCAAAGTTTTTAACTTTCATTCATCAAACACAGAGAAGTACAATCTGTGAGTGATACTAAACAAGTTCAACTTTCAACATTTGGGTTTATGAGAAAAAACACAATTCTGTCGAAAACTAAGCTACATTCATCAAAGTTACCAACTTTCATTCATAAAAAGTACAGAGAGAAATAAATCTTTGACTGATACAAAGAAGCCCCAAACTTTATTTCGAAGAAAGACGCATGCAAATGTAGATAAGCATGAATGACACGAAAAGATGCAAGCTTTCATCACATATCATCACGCGGAATACATTTACAGCTTTGATTGACGAGAAAAAACCCAAAAAGATGACATCTTTGAAGCAAACATCAGCAAAAATCTCACTTTAGACAAGAAACCCACAAAACCAGAGATATGAAGCAAGCGTCGAAGTAAAGTAGGGAAAAAAAAAACAAACTTTTGAGTGATGACGCAAGAAAAAAGCATGTACGACACAAAAAATGTAAGCTTTGTTCAACAAAAAACCCAGATAAGGTGAAATTTTTTTATCAAAAACCTCAACAAAAATTTCACATATGAAAAGACAACCCATAAAATCAGAGAGATGAAGCAACGAGCATAGTAAAGTACCGAGCTTTTTTAGGATTTTCACTCCAAAATCTGCGAAAAAAAACCCAGAAGAAAACTGCATGCAAGTTTAGCGAAGTCTTCAAGGTTTGAGGGAAAAAAAAGAGCTTTCGCCGTTTAAATATAAAATAAAAAAATAAAAAATAAAAAACTCGAACTGTAAGTTTTTTGAACAAATTAACATAGAAATCACAAAAAAAAAAGAACAAACCAAGAGACTGAAGAAGCCACATTTCTAAGAAATACCAAACCAGCGAAACTAGAAAGCATAAACCTAACAGAAATTAAGAAAAAAAATCCCTAAATGTCAAAACAGAAGAAACATTAGGAAAACCCTAAAATCACACCTGTGAAATGTGAATGTACCGATCGAAACGAAGAAGAAACCCTAAGCCACAACAAAGAGTATTCACTCCTCTCTCTCTCTCTCCCTTTTCTTTGTTTTTTTTTTGGGGTTTGCTTTTCTGCTCCGAACTGAAGGGAAACTAGTTACAGACTCAGTCGATTAAATAAATCGTGGACTCTTCGCCCTATAGTTATGCGTATCTACGGTGCGGTGCATCAAACTTTAATTTGCTCTTACAATCTAACCCATTCATTATATTGACTATATTAGACATTTCTCTACATATGATCTTGACCGTTCATTTGAATGACTTTGTTTATAGAGTTATTTTGTATCCCGCTAGGATTATTTGAATTTCTTATTCAATTTCTTTTTGTTGTTCTTGGTGGTATACATTGGTAGTGGTAGACAAACTGTCCGACGTGTCCGTATTCAAATAAAGAATGTACGCATTAACCGACACGTAGTCGTACATTTGCATAAGTATGGATTTAAAAATTGGTTTACGAAAAGAATTATGTTTTAAAGCTTATTATTGGACGACAAAAAAAAAGCTTATTATTGATCACAATAATAATAAAAAAATATAGATTCTGAATCCGCCCATGAGGCCGGATGTAGTTTTTGTTATTTAGGATGTTTAACGATGTTTGTTTGACGAGTATATTTAAGTGTATTAAGATTTAGACATTAGTTGAAAACTTATAAATTAGCTATAGACATATTAGTTCTGAACTTCTGATATATAAAAGTGTTTGGAAAGTAAGATTTTGTGGGTGTTGTTTGTGACTTGATAGTTGGTTTTAATGTTGAGATTGTAATTTGATAGCAGTGATATTAATAAAATAAAAACTGTATAATTATGTTTCATTTTCTACTTGATATTTACAATTTTAATATCTATATATTCACAGAAAATATGTTTAATATGAATAAGTAAATATAATAAGAAAATTAGTTCATTTACATAAACTTATAGTCTCCTACATAGAACCTTGATTTGGGCAGGGGTACTTTTTTCTTACGGTTGTTTAACAGAGATTTGTTTGGCAGACATAAACGATTTGATATTTGGAACTCAGTTGATATTTTATAGATTATACCTATGAGTTTTCAATATTTTGAACGATTTGATAGTTAAATTTATTTGTGTGGTTTATGATTAACTAGGTAAAAACAACCGTTTATTAATTTATCTACTATTTTTAGTAACAATGGATAAAGGCATGTTTAACATATATATGAGATAGAATATTTGAACTACCCATTTGAAAATTTAGTATTTTTAAAAGTTATCCAAATTTTTCCAGTTTTTTAATCCATGTGGGTTATATTTATTTTTTTTGTATTTAACAGATATATTTATGTTTGGCAGATAGTATAAACAATTTAAGATTTGGATATCAGTTGGTATTTTATATATTGTACATATGGGTTTTTGATATTTTGATGTATTTAATAATTGGATTATTTGTGTAGTTTGTGATTTGGTAAGTAAAAACAACAGTTTTATTGTGTGTTATCTATTTCGTTCTATTAGTAGCAATAGTAGTTAAGGTCATCAACAACTTGATTATACAAAAGAAAAATAATAATTACTTCTGTTTGTAAATAATAGTTAAAGAATACATAATAATAGTTAAAGGATACATAATCCTTATAGAAGATTTTTAAAAATAATACAAAGTGAAAACTTAATTGTCAAAATAGTATAATAACATTTGAAATTTTTTTTTTTTAACATCTATTTCATTTAATAGAAAACCAACAAGTACAAATTAAAGTTAATCAGAGAGACTCATAAAGAGCCAATTTGGCCAGAATCAGCTCTTCCATTCTCTGATCTGCCGATGAAAGTAAAAGATACAAATGAAAACAAACTTGCAAAAGTGTTAATATCAAAAAGGAGGCTGAAGATCTCCTTGATTTACTTTTGCTGAGTAATTGTTCGGATTAAAGTGCAAGCATCAGATATGATAATAAGGTGTCGAAAGCCTTTTTCCAGGCTGTAATTTAGTGCAGATCGGATCGCCAAGGCTTCTGCAACGAGAGGAGAGGCGACGAAGGGTGCATGTGATCTGCCTTGATCCAATTCAGATCCGATCTAGTCTTCAAAGATCCATCCCATGCCAGCGGATCGGGAGTCTTCCCTCCAAACCGCATCATATAGCAGATTACAGCCTCTGTGTGAGTTCGATTGCTGCTAAATTTAGGTGAGATCAAACCTGATAAGTATTCAGGTGAAAAAATTGTAAAATAATCTTTTTCTTCCATTCTAAAACTTAAATCCTTAAACTAAAACCTAGACATTGAAAATCTGAACCTTAAATTCTATATCCTTCAATATTTTTCCAAAAGACTATTTTGCCAAATTTTCTAAAAATTGTACTGTTCTAGTAATTAGTTGGTAACTTGTTACTATTTTAGACTATTTCTTCATAAATTCATATATACATATATAAAACGAAACGGAGAAAACAAAGTAAAGTATTTGATCAATTTTCAGAAATATATAATCAAGATTGAGAAATATTCCAAACTTGTAAGACCCAAATTTTTCTAAACCAACTTGTATTTAGCATAAAATATCTTGGATAATGCTTTACAATATTTAAATTATATATTTTCAACACTTAAATGCAAATTCCTAATATATGCAGTATACTTATATAACTAAAGTAGTTTTAATAAAGTAAAAATAAAGAAAACAAAAATATGAATAAGCAAAACATGTTATCCATTACTAGCCCTAAAATCGGATCGGATATCCGGAAAATCATCATAGTTGAAGTTCATTCATACCTTATTTCCAAATCTCATCATATTTGTAAAGTTTCCACTTATAAGAAGTAACAATCATTAGTACTTACAAAGTTTTTAAAATTTAATATTTCTGTAAAAAAACAAAACATGAATACCTGATCGAACTTTTCAAGTTCAGCTACTTTTCAAGCTCAGCTACCAATTCTTCTACATTTAGATCTTCATCATTATCCTGATACCAATACTGGGTGCAAATAAAAGCTTCAACGGTTTGCAGTGTTAATGAACTGCGAAAGCGATCTAATACCTAACCACTTGCACTAGATGCAGATTCTGATACCACAGTTGACAGATGTATATCAAGCAAATCTCTTGCCATCAGTGATAAGACTTTATATTTAGAACTTGTTACTCTCCACCAATGTAAAAACTTGGATTCTTCCTATCCTCCCAAACATCATCCAGATAGGTTTCTAGCTCTGACTTTATCTCACCCTCTTCACTTTCTTCAGCATCATCAAACATATCGTCCATCAGTGAATGTCTTCTCTTTTTCTTTAGAAATTGATGCTAATTTTTCTTTCTTCTGGAAATATTCTAGCGACTCTTACGACTCTGCGACTATAGAACTGATTTGTAATATAAATATAATTTTTCAGTTGCTTTTGTGATATTGTCAACCAAGCAGCTAGCCTCAAATGCAGGATAAGTTCCTTCAATCATCCACTTTACCCATCTCATTTTGTATCGGGGATCAAGAACTGCAGAAACATAGATCAACATATTTATATTGTACTTGAAAAAATTAAGCATCATTTTCTGAGCCATAGCTTTCTTGTGTCCATCCTCCATCATGTCCATCTACATTATCATCCAACCTACTCTGAAAATCTCTTTCATATATGTATTACCAGTCACATATTTAGACCCATATATGTTCACTGTAGCATTGTAAAAATATTGCAAAATAGAGGATAATGAACTAACATAATCCTAATCAGCATCACTTGGTGTACCTCCACAAATTTTGATAAGTTATGACACATACTTATCATCTTCTAGCTCTAGCATAGCAAATCCTTTTCTTCAGTTCAACAGCAGATTGTAACATCAGAAATGTTGAATTCCATCTTGTTTCAACATCTAAGCAAATACCAGCTTTACATTCAACTTTCTGAATCTCTAAACACTCTTTAAACCTCTTCAGTCTCTTAGGAGAAGATCAAACATACCTCACAGCTGACCTGATCATCAATACTGAATTATGCGCTTCCTGAAGACTATCTCTCACAATCAAACTTAAGATATGAGCACCACATCGCATATGAAGAAATTCTGCATCCAAATACTTGTCCCCCATGAAGTCATCTTTCTTTTCAAGTACTTGATTGCAAGATCGTTTGAGCTAGCATTATCTACCGTAATGGTGAACACTTTACTGATTCCCCAAAAACCATGCACTTTTCGACCATTTTACCAACTGTTTCTCCAACATGATTATCAACTATGCATAAATTAATGATTCTTTTGTGTTACTTCCAGTGTTCTGTGTTCGTCAATGTAATGAGCTATGAAGCACATGTAGTTCATATTCTGTATGGATTTCCAGCAATCTGTAGTCAAAGAAATACTGCCTTTATAGTTCCTAAAAATCTTTCTGAGTCTGCTCATTTCCTGTTCAAAAATCACCAAACAATCTTTAGCCACTGTTTTACGACAAGGAATATCAAAACGAGGCTGAGCAATGCTCATAAATCATTGACATCCCCTATGTTCAACAAATCTAAAAGGCAACTCATCCATTATAATTATTTTAACTAATGCTTTACGAGTTGCAAGTTGGCTGATAGCCTAAAAAAGATGGTACTTTACTTCCTGAAATCCCATATATTTTATTTTGGTGAAGAAAAGTTGACTGTTTCAACTTTTTACCATCTATTTCAGCATCAGAGACTTCTGGACATAGCATTTTGCATGCACATATGTGGTTTAACATTGCACTAGTTGTAGAACCAAACTTAGTTCTACAACTGATCAGTTGAGCACAATGCATACACTTTGCCTTATCAGGAACATCAGACTTCGTAAAAGTAACCAGGCTTCAGATCTTTTTTTTTTGTTACCTTATAAGTTGTTGAAGATTCTGGCATAGAGCTTTCAATAGCACCACCACAACAGGAAGCAGATTTTTGAGTATCTGGTTTAGAGTTTTCACTAAAAAAAAATCATCTCATTATTATAAACATAAGAGTCAAGATAATCAATCAGGTTCCAATTGGCTTGAGGAACTAAATCCATTTAAAATATCACAAAGTATCTACAAAGAGTCACACAAAGAAGGAACATAAGCACACAAACA